TCTTATTCAAAATATCTAAAAAAAATAACTGTATATCTATGATAGTAAAATGACACTGATGCAAAGTGCACATTGGTTACTGCATTTCTCAATAAAAAATAAGTTTCATACCAATCCATCCAGCATGTGATATTTCTCCAACACTTCAATGTTACCAATGTCCTTCAGAAAGACTGGGCAAAGAGCAGCTCCATCTAAAATTGGAGCAGCGCTGAGTGCCAGTTGCCAAACTCAGCGGGATGCTTTTAAGGCCCGAGGCTGGCACAAACATCTCAATTTTCTATTCTTTTTATTTATTTGTATTTTTCAACTGCAGTCTGGACAAGTGCGTAGCAGTCTGCCAGTCAGTGTACAGCCAGAGAAAACTCTGAGTATGGTACACACAGACACTGTTTTAAATACGACTCAGGAGAGACTTTGTTTGCTGGCTAATTAGCCGAGTGCACACTGGTTTCTCGGCCGGCATTGTTATAATTGCAGCCGGTTTATGCCGCTGACCTTTTTTTCAGCTGCATGTTCTGCATCTGCAGTTTTTATTGGTGCAAATTTTATGCAAGGACATGTTTTTTAATGTCTTGTTGGTAATGTTGTTTGTGCTTGCTTGTGTGTGTGTGTGTGTGTGCTGTACACCAGACACGCATTTGCAATTCAGGACTGACTGCTGCTTTTTTAGTTTTGTATTTTTCTTGGAGCCTTTCTTTGAAGACGTGAAATGATCATTTCTGCACTCTGTTGATTATTATATATGCATAAAGTATAAAAGTATTATTATTATATTTGATAATATAAAACATTTATTTGTTCCATTTGTTTTGGATGCTAACGAATTCTAATAAATCTAATAAACCATCTTTGACGAACACTCTGCCCTTGAATGGGTTTCCAAGACAAAGACAAAGTGTCGAGGTGACAGCAGCAGGTGTCTGGTGACAAAGGATGGTGCTGAAAACTACCCTTAATGAAACAGGCCTTTACAAAGGGCCAAATAAGAACAGTGCTTATCCAGCAAAAGTGCTGCTAGATGGAGTGTAAAGTGCACACATTTTCCATGACGCCACAGTAATGAGGTTTTATATTGGTCTGGCACCTAACTCGCAGCCCACCAGCCCCTCTTTAGATCTACTCCTTCTCCATACCGCTTCATCTCTGTCTGTTTCTCCGTTCATCTCGACTGCCAAAACAGACCTGCTGAACACAAAGTATCTTCATGTTCAATCATAATCAGACTTCCCATCTTTCCTTGTTCTGATGTTAATGCACAAAGCCTTTGCTTCAATTCTCTCTGGATTTTATTGGGTATGTTTAATTGGTATATTAGTTATTTTTTATTTTTTTTAAGTCTCACTGGCTCACCAAGGCTGCATTTATTTGATCAAAAATACATAAAAACAATAATATTTTGAAATATTATTAGTCTTTAGTGTCACATGATCCTCATTCTAATATGCAGATTTGAAAACAGCTGTGCTGCTTAATATTTTTGTGGAAACCGTTTTGTGTAATATTCATGTCTTTACGATCACTTTTGATCAATTCAATGCATCCTTGCTGAATAAAAACATTAATTTCTTTATATATTATAAAACTTTTGAACAGTAGCGTACATCTTTTTTAGTTACAACCCAAATAAAATAATAACTATCTTATTAACTAAATTAAAGCAATGTGTGATTCCTATGTGCTTTCTGTTAAGACCAGTCTTAATTAGCTTAAAGTTTTGTAAAATATCATCTCACTGATTAAAAAAAAAACAAAAACTTGTAAGAACATTTCAGTAGCCGCTCCCGTTTAATAACATGACCTCATTAATATATGACATTATTCTTCTGCTTTTCGCAAATCAGGAGTCAAAACTCAAATCGATAGCGCGGCGGTGGGGAGATTAAATTAAGCATGGCACAAACTGATTAGCTCATTTCATTTCATCTCAGAAACTCTGCCAGAATGCCATACAAACAGATGCTACACCCGTTCAGCCTGGAAAACTCGCTTAGCATTCCTCCCCTTCTTGACCAAATCATGGACTTGCATGTGTTCTGGCTCAGAGCTGTTCTTATGAATCTATCTGCGGTGGAAAATAAAAGCACTAATCGCTGCAAGTCAGCTAATTTTTGCTGAAACATGATGAAGTGTTGCCTTAAGTATTAATAAAGTGTAGGTAAGTCATGTGCATTAATCATGGTCTCTGTGCAATGGTGTTCCTCAAGGGTCCGTCCTCGGAATCTTGGAATTTATCCGATTCTCCAACCGGTCCAGAGGAAACGCAGACCATACTACACACACACACACACACACACACACATGCAAATTAATAAATAAAATAAAAATGAAAAGCAAGGACTCTAAAGCCCACCAATACTTTATCATGGTCACGGTGGCCATCAGACAACGTGCTCCTCGGGAGTCCACCTCACTGCCGGCCAATAAAGAAAGTCGACATGGTGCAGATTACCAAATGATGCTCCAGCATACATAATAGAGATCATGGAACATCTCAAACGCACAGTTTCTCTCTGCACACTAATTAAATCAATGGAGAGACCTGGTAGAGAGAGAGAGAGAGCGAGAGAGACAGAGAGAGAGACTGGTTGGTGAAATAATGAAGCGCTTTAAAAATGATCTGTGCTACTGTGGGACCCGCCGGCCCAGACAGACTTGAGTCGTGGAGGAATATGCAATATACAACCAAATAGGCGAGGTATATTAATCTTGGCATGCCTCTGAGCTCTGGCTAAATGAGATGGTCCCTGTGCAACTGCCTCAAATTTTGATTCCCCCTGCCCCCCTCTTTTTTCCCATAGATTGGTGTCCGTAGTCCTCATTGATTTAATGTTTAAAGCTCCCTTCCTCCCTGTACCTGGTTTGGAATTACAACGGAGTCTGACAAAGCAAACTCTGTATCTTCACAAGAGGCGTCAGCGTGAAGCATGGAGACGGATACCCATGCAAATACATATTCCTTACAGCCGTCTGGCATCTTAACATGCCGCCTGAGGTGAAACTAACGCATATTGGACACAGACGGCCAGGTTTACTGTCATAAGAGTCATTTAGGAGCTTTATGATTACATCAAACCTCGATTTCTGACATCTTTTGTCACAAAAGGCGTGTTTAATGAGCGAGGATTCTCTTGTCGGGTAGCTTCTGTTATTAAACCCCGTTATTATACCAGGGTTTGTAAAGATTACTTAAGCTTTAAAAGCAAAGAGCATCTTTGATGTGCATAGTATTTATGATGGTTCTCATAACCGTCACTCGTTTTTTTCCCAAACGCAAAATAAATATTTCATATTCGGCAAAGTTGCTGAGCTGTGGCGAGCGAGGCAGACCTGACACGCGTTTCTGTTTGGCGGGGGATGAAGTCGAAGTCGCTTCATGAGAGGCGATCTTATCACATCACAAGGGACCTCACGCTAATATTTGATTTCTTCCAGCTTTGCTGCCCAACAAAGCTGATTATGACTATGCATATGCATACATCATCTCACGTGACTCGATTAAACAATTATATGCTTGAACTGAATTTCAAAAACTAGTAAAACTACACTACGATGTGCTTTCCTGCATGAAAATAAAAGTTTGTCATTTCAGTTTCTAGTGTAGGCAGTAGACGTAATAACGTATAATACCTTATCAAACAAAACATATATAATGCGCATAAAAACATATAGTTTTACATTTTCATTTGCACTATAGGCGATTTTATTTGAGCATAGGCGATTCTAGCAGGCTAATCACCTTGTAGGTAGCTTAATTAAGCAAAGAAAAGCTTTGGTTACATACAATAATATGTTAAAAAGATAATTCATTTTGAATAATTTAATCTTGAAAGGCCCTATATAAAACATAATATAATAATAATAATAATATAAATTATTATTATTTCATTATACATCTCATAATTTGAGATATTTTCTATGTGAACTAAATGTTATATATATTAAATATATAATATGCTTGTAAAGCAGGGCTGTACGTTAACTTTTTTTCACATAGCACTGGTGCTACAGAGGTTGAAAGTTTTGTAGCACAGGTTAAAAAGTTGTAGCACAAGTATAAAACGTCTGTTATCATGCCTGAAAACAAACACAAGTAATGGAGTTCATCACTTAAACAGGCACTGATGTTCAATACAGAGCATAAAAAATACAAACCATCACAAAAATTGTTTTAGACAAAGTTTTCTTAATTTGCTAAAAATGGAAGCGTGCAGAAACATAACACCTCTTACACCTTAACAAAATATAAAATAAAAAACAATGGCAGACATTTAGGCAAATTTAGCAAAGATAAAAATCTTTGTCATTATTTTATCTTTGTTATTAGAATTTTTCAGGTACAGTATTTAGCAGTATTTACAACATTTTATTTTTCAGGTACAGCATTTAGCAGTAGCATTCAATAAATTGAATGAACAAATATTAAAATAAAACACTATATACATCAATTATACTTTTTTTTAAAGCAACTGACTGATGCTTTATCAGCAGTTCATCAGTCAAGAGCAGTGAGTGATTTTTTCCCTGTGTTAGTTGTTTTATTAACATTAAAATATCATCTGTCTTTCAATAGCGTTTCATTTTTATACCATCATTTACTTGGGACAAAATGTGAGTGAGTAAATAATCACATATTTGATTTTTTGGGTGAACTATCCCTTTAATGACAGTCGGCAGCATGTTTACTGTCCCTTTAAGAGTTGCACGCATTTCTCTCTCAACTGTTTATTTTAATTTTAGACATAACCAACTGCGTTTATATGTACACCTTGTATGTTTTTGACAGTATTAGACGCGAAATCAATCAGACACGAAAGACAACTTAGTCCAATAATCAGGCGCTTTTTGACAGGCTCTCAGTGTGAGCGCGCTTCTTGAGTACGCGCTCAGAAAAAGCACATGCAGAACAGCACGTGAATTAAATGTTTAACCGGTATTCCTTTAAAGCAGATGGAAATAATGTAGTTTTGTGATTGCGCATAAGTGCAGTGTCCCGTGAGAGTAACTCTACCGCTGAGCTAACACTGATGTGAATGCATGTGGCGTTGTACATTATATTGAGACGGAGCGAGGCGCCAGAACTGTATCGCACGCATGATAGTGGTAAATTTATTCATCGCACAGACCAGTTTTTTCGTAGCACGTGCGACATATATTGTCGCATTGTACAGCCCTGTAAAGGTTTGTATTAAAATATTTTGGTGCATATCAATTAACCAGGCACTGAATGGAGTTCCCATTCAAAGTCCTTTCAGCCAATGGGATCACTTTGTGGGTCTTCAGTGGGCAGACTGAATTGTTCATAACACAGCACCATATCAGTACAGCTTGTACTAAACCTGAATGAGTGCACGAGAAGCATATTATAGTTTGGCATGTCTCTGAACAAGGTCAGAGCAAGCAAACCTCTGCTACCGCCGCAGAGACAAACACTTGTGATGTGCTGTTATTGACTCTGGCTTACTTATATGTTTTTCCTTTCCTGCTAAAAGGTTGAGTGAGGTACTTGCCGATGATAAGACAAGTAGTATATCACAGAGATTTATTAAATCCATTTCCCCCCGGAGAGAGAACAAACACAATGTGTACTATTTACCAGAGCTACTCAAAGAGCAAAGATGAATGATGCGGAAAGAGCTTCCTCTCAGGTAAAAGGCAGATAGTATCGTGAACAGAGCAGGGCATTGTAATCAAAACTATCTGACCTCTATCTGTAGCTCCGTACACAGGAGGGCCCCGGCCCGATGGGACGTATACGTTGAAAAGAGGACATCAGTCATATGGGTCAGTCTGACCTAACGGCTTAGCTGTACAGCAAGGTTATATGAATACAGCCTCAAAAGACTAAGTGTCCGCGAGGAAAGCGTTAGAGGTCGAGGTGGATTGTGAAGGATCCGACCCCTGTGTACAGCTTAGACGAATCGCTCTGATCTATTGTTCAAAACGCCTGCTGTTTGCTTTGTGACAGGCTCTATTTGAAACCTATCTGCACCGGTACTGCGGCATAAAACAATGGGGCAATTTGTTTTACCTTATCTCACAAACGAGCGATGCACCTTCGAGTGACAGCATCTTTATGCTGCGTCGTGGCGTTGCCGCAAAGCGGAACATTAATACACAAAGCTAATTGATGGCAATTGTAAGTAGGTGCACGGCACAGTGATATTGGAGAGGCTTTGAAAATTGTCACAGGAGAGGGTTTGTATGGGGCTGATGATTGTGTGTGAAATAATAGCTGGCTCGGGGTCTTGGCTGTTTCTAGGTGTTGTCGGAAATTGAAAACTGCTGAGGCATTTCAACATCAACCCCTCATATTATGGAGCGGCTTTCTGCGTTGTTTTCTACATGCAGCATTATTCTGCAGCGAGGATATTTCCCAAAATGCTGAAGGTTCACCATCAGTTTTGGACATTTACATAAGATTAAAAAAAAACATAAAAACACATGAAAACATGCCTTATTTCACAACAAAACTAAAAGGGGAAAAAAAATTATTCTTTTTTTCCAAGAAGGGCCAAGTCTGCCACTGAAAAATTTTTGTAATTGTGACTTTTTTAATATTTCACAATATTTTCTTCTCAGAATTGTGCAGGGGAAAAGTCCCACATGAAAACATGCCTTATTTCACAACAAAACTAAAAGGGGAAAAAAAATTATTCTTTTTTTCCAAGAAGGGCCAAGTCTGCCACTGAAAAATTTTGTAATTGTGACTTTTTTAATATTTCACAATATTTTCTTCTCAGAATTGTGCAGGGGAAAAGTCAAAATTGTAAGATATAAACTCACAATTTAATTAAAGAATTAAAAAAAACATGATTATTTAGAAATACTTGATTTGGCAAAGTTGTTTAAGTGTTTAACTAATATAATAATTTTTCACGATTTTTGAAAAATATTTAATTTTCTTTCTTTCTTTTGATTTTATGATGGAATATGTCCCACAAAATGTTTTTGACCGATTCAACCATGAGCATACAATAATAAATAAATCTACTGAAATCCATCTGATTACTGATTGAATATCAAACTGTCCATTCATACCCAGAAAATCTGATAAACTGTGTACAAAACATAATTAGCAATAATTAGTGATGTCGGAACGCATAATTTAGGACTCCACTGATTTAGATTTTGCAATAATTGCAATTAACTGTTCTTAATTAAACTTCATGGTGAATGGCATCAGTAGGTTTATAATACAAGATGCTCGTGGCTTAATAAAGTTGGCAAAGCACTGCGGCCTGCCTATACTGTACCTGACACTAAATTTTCCTTAACTAATGCAGAGCTTAGCATCATGACAAAATGGTGTTGCACCGCCAAAACTACTGCACCAAACCTTCTCTGGCTTCCTGAACCCTCACAAAAGATGACACACTAGCTGTCATACTGATGAGCCATCCTTGAATGCTGTTCACATCATAGTGCACCTGTCACGCTGGTCAGCTCAGAGCAGATAAAAAAAAAACAGCTGTCTGGATCGCCGTCCTGATTGTGTTCACAGGACAGGCCTGGATGCGGAGGTCAGACCCAATGAGGGCTTATTAAGGTCAGCTGTCACAGCCCTGTGTGTGTGTTTACCCGTTCACTTCAGTGTGAGTTGGATGCTGGCTTGTTATCTGGATGATTTAGGATTGGGATATGGTCAGGAATTAATAAACTATAAGATGAGCAGTTGATTCCTCTGTCATCTGTTAAGCAGGAGAGACAATGTCTGCCATCAAAGTCTTGATGACAAGGATAGACCAACCGCTCTAGTCAGCTTTTACTACAATTCAGCTCTGCCGTATTAATTTACATGGTATCAATAAGTGGTCTAAATAATAAAATTGAAGTGAAATTATTTTGGAACTGAAACTAATGACAATAAAAAGCAAAATATAGGCTCATTAATCAGCTGAAAGCTAGTATCAATTCATTAAAAAAAAAAAAAGCTAATTCACACAACTCAGAAATTCCATCAAAGAGAATATGTCTGAAAAATAAACAGAATATATAAAAAAAATTTAAAAGGATAACATTCCTTCTATAACTTTGGGGAGATTGGGGGAGAAAGTGTAAATATTGACAAATAAATAAACCACACTGATGTATGGAAGCTAGTTTCCACTGCATGACAAAAAAATAAAAAGCACATTTTTTATTCCACAATTCTGAGAGTTTTTTTTTCTGCAAATAAAAAGTCAAAATTGATATATAAAATTAGAACGGTGAGATAAAAAGTCAGAATTGAGAGATATAAACTCAGAATTGAAAGAAAAAAAGTCAGAATTGTGATATATAAACTAAGAATTGCAAGAAAAATAGTAAGAATTGTGAGATATAAACTCAGAATTACTACTTTTTATCTCACAATTCTAACTATCTACTTTATCATCTCACAATTACATTTGTTATCCCATGGTGGAAACAAGCCTCCATACAGATGCACTTGACTAACTAAAGCAAACATAACAGGGAAAATTATAATAACGAGGAAATAATGATGGGAGAAATAAAAGATGAAATGGTTACCAAGGTTATGATGGAGGTCAAGGTTCAGATGACGAGTTCAAAAAAACTGGGAAACCACAATGGCAGATGCTCTGTCGTCTCTGAAGGAAACAAAAGTACAGGGAAAATGAATGAATGAGCCATCACACTGGCCAAAGACAGCTTTATGAAAGCATACAGTCCAGAAGGAGTAAGCCTACAACTGAGATTAGTTGTCATTAGCACAGCAAGATAACAAACAAACATTGTCAACAATAGGTCAGTTAGGGAGGGAAGTACTCGGTGCTCAAAAGGGAAAGCGGCCTCATTAGCTGAACACTACATTTAAATTGGCTGCTTTATGAACACAAGCGCTCTGGTCAATTTATGCACATTTCCCGCTTTTGTCCTTCCCGTGCTACACATGCTCCGCTAGCCCATTATAAATTACCTTTGAGATTTACTGTAAGAAAAGACTCTTTGTTTTTCATCTTAAACCCACTGAGAACATTAAAAGTTACTTATCGCATGGATAAGCCGGAATTTTTCCTGTGCCTTTTTTTCCCCCTCACAATGTTCTAACATAATGAAATTAACAAACTACGTTCAAGACTAATCAGAAATTGCTCCTCAAACAGGGAATACGCTGCTTGATGTAATTATTGAACTCGTCTGGAATGTTTTGGGCATGCGATTATTTTTCGTTTTAATGTGTTTTTAATTGTAGCTGTGTTCTTATCTTGCCGTGTAGATTAGCATCAAGCCATTTATTTGCAACCATGACGGAAACAACAAACCAACCGTGTGTTAAGAGTGCAGCTAGCCCACCTCCTGGACACGGTCAGGCCTTTGATTCCAGAGCCGGCATGGAGCCGCATGCTAATGAACCCTTGCGGCAGCTAAAATACGATTAGCCAGAGCGCCGCTCTTACATTTACCAGTCCTGAAGCAGACGGCAACTGCGTAAGAACAATAAAACGACCCAAGACTGCTTGCTGGCATTTTTCGCCCTGTCTTTTTTCAGACAATGCTTTGTCACCAGCGAAAAGCCATCAGCAAAATGAGATAATGTTTACAGGGCGAGCCGGATGAAAAACAGCTCCAGTAACGTCTCCCGTTCAGTGGACTAGAAGTATTCCTCGCCGGTATGCGGAGAAGCTTTAACGGGAAGAAAAAAGACGAATGCTCTCGGCATAATTACAACAGTTTTAGTGTGCGTAATTGTGATGGTTTCTTACACCCAAACAGAAGTGCTAACAAAAGCAGTCTATTGTTCTTGGCTCTTCAACAAAAATCCCCCCTCATCTAATGATTCAGGAATCTCATTTTCCCGCACCTAATGATTGTGAACAGAAAAGGTTCTGCACAGTAATAGCCCGCTTCGTCGTAAATAAGCACGGAAACGATCATGATGAGGGAATTATTCCATGTGTTCAGATCCGGCGACTAAAACATAAGCAACAGCAAGATTAGCAGGTGTCCTTGAGATAGTTTTCCACCTCGCAGCAACTGCGAAAATAAAAGATCAGCAGAGTACACAAAGTTAAAGCAATAAGGAAATGCGTTTCGTACTTCACTTACATAAGAATTGCTGAATCATCCGGGCCGCCCTGCCTACTACTATTCATTTCATTACCACAACAGTGTTCATTAGAATCAAATGCATGCATACAGTAATTTAAGAAGCGCCATAAAGGTGGTTAGAAAGC